ACAAACTCTTGAAAAAAGTGTGGTAAATGATGAACCGGAGCAGTGGCCATGGCAGTTTTGAACTCTTGGAATGCATGATTGGCCGACTCATTCCAAGAGAATTGATGTTTTCTAAACAAATTGGTAAGGGGTGTGGCCATCTTTCCATAATTTGCTATGAACTTTCTGTAATAACGTCAAGCCTAAAACAACACTCAGTTCCAAGACATTTATGGGTTGTGGCCACTCTAAACATTGCCCGAATCTTGGTTGGGTCTACTTCCACCCCTGCTACAGACACGATGTGACCCAAATAAGTCGATAGTTCTAAGCCAAATTCACATTTCTTCCTATTAGCATAGAAGTTGGTGGGTAGAAAGGACCTCAAAAACTTGTTGAAGATGGGAAACACGGTCCTCCATTCCTTTTGTATACCAGAATGTCGTCAAAAACTAAACGAACTTTCTCAAATATGGTTTGAATATATCATTCCTCAGTCCCTGAAACGTAGCAAGAGCATTAATCAAACAAAAGGGCAAGACAAGGAATTCGTAATGCCCTTCATGTGTCTTAAAGGTTGTTTTAGGCACATCCTCATCCCACATATGGATTTGATGGTAACCTGATTTGAGATCCAGTTTTGAAAACACACTGCCCCAAATAATTCACCTAGTAATTCATCAATAATCGGTATAGGGAACTTATGTCTACACAAAATCTCCGACTGCCATGTTTCTTCTTTACTAGCAAGATGGGACTCGAGAAGGGACTGCTACTGTGTTGTATCACCCCAACTACCAACATTTATTTAATGAGCTTTTCAATTTCATCCTTTTAATAGTGAGGGTACCTATACGGACGAACGGTCATCGGCCCACTCCCCTCTTGTAACACAATGTAGTGTACTTCCCCTCTCTCAGACGGAAATCCTACGGCCATATGGAACAACCCGTCATATTTTTCCAACACTCCTTCCAACTCCACTAGGCAAATGTCTTCCATTTGTTCTTTAGATGTGAGTGCCCCAAGTTCCACAAAATAACCCTGCTTCTCTTCCAACTCCACTAGGGTTCAACCTAATGAAGGATCACCTTTCAGCACCACCATTTTGTTCCCCTTCTTGAATTTCATCATCAAGGTTTTCCAATTTGCGTGGGTTGTACCCAAAGTTTCCAGCCAGCCAATGGACGCCTAATACAATGTCGGAATTTTCCAATTTGATTGGTAAGAACTCAATGACATCCACTCCGTGTAGGTTCACTTTCATACCCCTGCAAATTCCTTCTCCTTTCACTACTCCACTAGTGCCCATAGTGATGCTATAATTGTTTTTAGTAGAAACTAGCAGCCCTAATCGATGCACTAATTTCTTACAAATGAAATTATGTATCCCCACTATCTAAAAGCACTACAATCTGCTGTCTGTTGATGGTTTCCCTTATTTTCATTGTTGGAGGGTTTGCTAGTTCGACAACGAAATTTAAATGGACTTCAATTTTCTGCAGTCCCTTCTCCACTCCCTACTCTTCTTTCTTCATCTTCGATTCCGCCCATTTCAGAATCGTTTATCACTTTCCCCATCTTGCACAACCAAAACGTTGACCTCCTAACAAGCATGACCTGGGTTGTATTTCTCATCGCAGCGATAGCTGAGGTCTTGTGAACATTTTTTTTTGTAGCTCAACATTGGAGAGTCGTCGGAACTCCTGCCCACTCGTTTTCACTGCTAATCGACTCTAACGAACTTTTTAGGTTCCGGTAATCAATCGGCGCTTATGCTCCCATCGAAACCATCAGAGAGCATCGCCCTCAAAGGAAATAATGTGCTCCTCAGGGTCAGTTTGTTCAGTGAGCAGTAACGATCGGCTTTGAGAATCCAGCCATCTAGGGTTGTTCCATTGAACGTAGGTATTTCAGACTTCCGACCCTTAATTGTAAAGAATCTCCCTATTTCCATTTGTCCCCCATTTAACCCCCATTCTTGCCTTCTGATTGAGCCTCGTCTTCATTCAACCAAGTCGGATCTACTTTTCCGCCCGGTTCCGCTTGCAATGAGATCAAGCGTTCAAGTTGAAATATCATGGTTTGAACATTCTCTTTCAACGAACTCACCTCCACTTGCACACTCCGAGGTGGAAACATTTTTCGTCATCATTCCCGACCTAGCCTGCTCTGGTACCAAATGATAAACCAGTGGTAATTTACTGATTACTCTAAAAGTGAGTCAAATTATTACAGCACTCCAGCAATTCGAGAAGATGGTATTCTCCCAAATTTGGTGAAAATCGGATTGTCTACAAAGATGCTCTCCTCACCCTAGCAGGAAAATATATATACTACTACCCACGGAGAATAACTAAATAGATTCCCATATGGTCCCTCCAAAACAGAAAACAATACGGCAAATATAAAATGAGAAATACCCAAGGATACCCTTGCAAACTGATACTTATTTCAAGTATTAACCCCAAACACTTTCGGGTTTCTTCGCGCATAGGTGAATTTGATGAGGGGTTTATCAACTGCTTAGGGTCTAGGGCCTGAATCCTCCATTTGCCTCCAAAGTCTACTATTGCTATAGCTACGAATGTGAAAATCCAACGAACATGTATTATGTATGTGTTTTCTTCTCTAATACTAAGACCAATGATCTCACAGAGTGATCGCGCAGCTGCTCTTGTGGGGATTTTAGAAGCAATTTTTTAACATCTATCCCCCAGTTCTCAAGCAGCTGCTTTGCATATCGTCATATCTGTTTGCACATTCTGGGTTGTTAGAAACAAGGTTGTGCACGCAGCAGATATGTCGTTGGAAGATCACTGCCAATCACAGCAAAGTAAGAAGTACTGAGATGGTCTGAAGGTGCAAATAAGTTTTGGACTCTTTGGAGAATCATATACAATCAGGTGTGGGTTTGAAAGATACTCTATAGGTATGTGCATATTGATTTTTTTCCATTTCTGGAGGTGGTACGGTGATATCACAACATCTCATTATCACGGAGAACAGGTATCCGGGTGACTTCCATAGATAGTATTGTAAGGGCCTTCTTAGGATTGCTTAAAAGCATGTACTAAAGTAGAAGCACACAAATTCTAACAGTTCTAAGAATGGATGAAAATATTTGATGAAGTAGTGCCAAAAAAGCAACATCATAGTAAGCGTTCGGTAGATATGTAAACCAAAGTAACTGGGTATCCCACTTTTGTTCAGCAGATGTGTTGTTTTTAAATTTAAATTCAGAAAAAAGATATCATTCTTTATTGTTTGAAAATGAAACATATATGGGCAAGATTTCTTATTTTTTGGCATTATCACACACCTTATATTTCTAGGAGTAAGTAAAAACATGTTTTCACCTCTTTTAAGCAACCAGAATACCTAAGACTAATAGAAATGTGCTTTTAGAAATAACGATGTTCCAACAGAATCACCTATGTGGTGGTTAGACAAATTTACTGGCTTCACTCATGCCAACTGAATAGTGACATGCTTGCAGGAAATCCAATAGACGAACCAATAGGTTGGCTGCCAAGGCCCTAATATCATAAACCACAACTAGCAGATTAGAGTGCCCATAATGAGCCATACTCCGAGTTACCGAGTTCATTAGTAAAAAATAACATATATCAAACGCATGTTCTTATAAATAACTTCAAAGGCTAAACATGTGTTCTTTGGTGTCTTGGCATGCATAGAATCTTCTAAGGAAAAGGGTTTGTCATTAAATCTCTTTGGGCATCCGTCAACAGAAGCATTATCTTTTATCAAACCAAAACTTATAAATGAGAAAGAAGAAATAAACTTTTGGTTCATGTCGAAACCTAATAATCTAAGAAATAGCTTCAAACAGATCAATTTTTTATTATAGTCATTTCCATCTCATTAAGGAGTCGGCTAAAACATTTCTCTTGATGAAGCAAAAAGAATATGTTCAATAGCAAATAGCAACAAACTGCATTCAGAAATAAAAAAATAGCAAGAGAAATAAAAATAATAGCAAAAAGACATGGTTCACAATCAGTTAATCACAATAGATATGGGATTGTGATATGCGACTCAAGCTAGTAAGTAGTTACAATAGAGAATTAGAATGACATATCTCAGATTGTACCTCTTCCTTATCAATCAGATGTTAGACCATGTAATGTAATTTTCTTAATGCATCACAAATAGTAGAATATTCTGGATGCTAGTATTCTATTCTATTCTATTATTTTTATTGGGTTTCTTGTTCACCAATATTATGATGCATTAGACGCCTAGTGGATTGGTTATATCACATCCTATTTCACTGAAATCTTACATGGCACACTGTATCACCTATATAAGACATATATGGAGATCAATATGGTCTAAAAGTAATTTAACATGAAGGCCAACAAGCAAACACGTCTAGCTTGTGAATATGGCTGATATTTGAAGTAAAGGAGATTACTATAGAGTACCAAATAAAGTTCTATTATAGCCTTAAAACTCCTTCAGAATCAAAGGTTTTCAGGTTTCTCTTTGGATAAGAAGATCACCATTTCAAGATTATCAAAAGAAGTAGAAGATTCATTAATTTTGAGCTCTCAACATTTGAGAAGACGGACGAAATATAAGAGTATCATTATCAAGGAATCCTAGATTCCATATATCTCTACTCACGTTGGGATGCTAATTCCATCAGCATTTAAATTTTAAGAGCAATACCAATCTTTCTATGAAAGCTCTGAGAAATTATCTGCAAGAGCACCCACACTAGTGATTATAAGTTAAACAACACCTGATCTCTAGAAAATGAAAACCTATTTTTCCAACTTCCATTTCCTCTTTCTACTGCTGATACAAGCAATCGATGGTGATCAAGTAACCAGATAATCATATAGTTGTATACAGAGTCACAGAACTAGAAGTGTCAGATCACACTTTCTGTTAGATCTGATCGAATTCAAACACCCAAATAAGAAATACTCCTTGAAAAATCATATTGAATCGTGTTTAGTACAAAAAAAGAAAAAGAGAAGGGGGGAACGTACTGACGAGAAGGGTACGAGAGAGGGTCCATTTTTGAGCACGGCCAACAATGGAGAAAGGAAGCCAGTGAGTTGGGATGAAGGAATGCAACAGCGACACAGTTGCTATTCCTCCGATTGTTGATAGATCTTCAGCACTAAACCCTCCAGTCTCCATTCTTAGTCTCGATTCCTAACGCAATGGAAAATTTGTCATCAATTTCATGGATCTGGCAGAATAGTTATTTAGATTGTTGGGTTATTCGGGTGGGGTTTGTTGGCGGGTAGGGGTGGTATTGGGATTGGCATTGGCATGGTGTTAATGTTTTAGGTTTGAAAATTTTCAATAACTCAATTTAATTCAAACCAGAGTGTAACCTAACACAACCTAAATCGAATGAGTTGATATTTTAATATTGGAAAATTGCATCAAAATGGAACAAACTTTCACATGATTTCTATTATGGGGAATGAACTTTCAAAATCGTCATTTTGGGGAACCAACTTTCATCTGATTCCTATTTTGGGAACCAACTTTCAAAATCGTCATTTTGGGGAACCAACTTGCACCTAATTCCTATTTTGGGGAACCAACTTGCAAAATAATTATAGAAAAATGGGAAAATTACACCAAAATGGAACCAATTTTCATTTGATTCCTATTTTAGGAAACCAACTTTTAAAATCGTCCTTTAGGGTCTCTATCGAACTTTTTGTTTATTTAAGGGTATGATTGATCTGTTGAACAGGTAACAGATAATTTAAGGGTTTCTATCAAACTTTTGGTTGGATTTGACAAATTTGATTTAAACTTTAATATTGACACAAATTGGTTAGATATAAAAATCTTGAATGTGATATTTAATATTTATTTTTTATTGCATCAATTAATTTTTTCTATTAAATTAATTTTTTATTGCATTAGTAAAAAACAATTTTTATCGTGGTCATTTGGATTTTTTTCGAAAAATCTTCAATTTGATATCTGAATTTAAAAAAACAAGATTTGAAATGAAAAATATATTTTATTGCATTAATTTTTGAAAAGAAATGAATTTTAATTATTTTTCTATAACTATTTTGCAAGTTGGTTTCCCAAAATAGGAATCAGATGCAAGTTGGTTCCCCAAAATGAC